CCTGGTTGAGGGAGGTTCAGTAATACTTGGAAGCCTCTTTGCTCTATCCCACTCGATTACTTTTTTGTTTCTGTACACCGAACAGCAGCACACTAAACATTCACAAGCTGTGTCATATTGGCATTACAATAGTCATTTTTATAAACAACAGCAAATGCAATAAAAACAAGTTACCCCCTTTTTTTTTTTTCTTTTTCTTTTTTTTTAAATCTGAAATGAAATGTTTTGATTTTAAAAAAAATAACAGTAGTTCATTTAAGGAATTAGTCTCTTCTGACGGGTATTAAGAAATCTGGTGTCAGTTTTTAAAACACTTGATTAGCCAGTACGGGTCCGTGTTCTTCACTTCAGTTCCTCGACAGCGTCTGATCGACTCTCAGCCACGTGTCCTTCGGGTGGACGTGGGGAATGCAGAAAGTCTGATGGATCCGTGGTCGGCGGGGAGGGGGGAGAAAGGACAGACCCCTCTCAGGGGTGCTCCAAAGACTCACCGTGCTTCCCACACAGCAGTGGCAACGCAGTCCCGTCAGCTGCGGCAGCTCCGGCGGAGAGTCCTGGCGGTCAGGGGCGTGACCAGTGCAACTATCATAGGCTGGATTCTTTGGGAGGAAAGTCAACGTTTGTCACCATTGTGACCACAGTCACGATGTCCTCTGTGGTTATAATGTTAGTTAGTTTTTGCATCTGGATGATGCGCTCTTCCACACAGCCCGCCGACAGCCTGGCCTCCGCGTCGTGATCCCAGCACTCCTCGATGGTCTCACACAGCATGGCCATGCCCTGGGGGAACAAGCCACGGGCATCACCATGGGCACCACAAGGATCCCTGCTAGGTAAGCACCATACTGGCTGTCTCTGAAAAAACATCAGGTCCTCCCTTCACTGAACCACTTGCTGAGTTAAATTACTGATGTCCCTTTCCCTGAGGAAAGGCAGGGACACTAGGCCAGAGGATCGTACAGCAACTGGACTTGTTCAGGACCTGCTCTTCACTGGGAGGCTGGTGAGCCCCTGGCCCAGGCTGCCCAGAGAGGTGGTCACTGCCCCATCCCTGGCACCATCCCAGGGGAGGTTGGATGGAGCTCTGAGCACCCTGCTCTAGCTGCAGATGTCCCTGTCCCTGCAGGGGGTTGGACTGGATGACCTTTAAAGGTCCCTTCCCACCCAAACCACTCTGTGACTCTCTGAACAGTCAGAGTGTACAAGAGTCAGCAGCAGGTTTTACAGTGGTGAGGCCACCTGGCAATTCAGACAGAAAATCAGATTTTAAGGTACCTCTGCCAAGTTGTCACATTTTGGTCACACAGGAAGCTGTGTCATATTGGTTTGGAAACTCAGCATGTAGTATGGGGCCATATATCTTATTTCATAGAATCCTTCTGGTTGGAAGACACCTCTTTAAGGTCATCAAGTCCAACCATTCCCCCAGCACTGCCAGGTCCCCACTGCCCCGTGTCCCTCACACCACATCTCCACAGCTTGGAAACCCCTCCAGGGGTGGGGACTCCACCACTGCCCTGGCAGCCCAGGCCAGGCCTGAACAAACCTCAAGGGGAAGAAATTGTCCCTCCTGTCCAACCTAAACCTCCCCTGGCACAGCTTGAGGCCTTCTCCCCTTGTCCTGTTTTGCACTGTTCAAATGGAGCAGCAGCAGCTGCTTTTCACCACAGTCTGCTGGCAAAGTCATCGTGGTGTTGTGCAAGATGCCACCCTAAAGGAGGTCGAGATCTTCAGTCATCAGGTGAAAGGTTGAAGACCAACCCAAGAGCCCAGGAGGGGATCTGCAGCCAGCAGCTCACTTTCCTCCAGAGTGACACTGAGCTAACAGAGCAACGTGCTAATTACAGGGAGCAGATGGTAACACGCACAGACAGTGGCAGCTATTGTTTCTGACAACCTTTTTTGTTTGAAAAAAACCCAAACAGCAAACCAAATCCAGTGCTAGGAACAAGCAGTGGTGTTCCTGTCACAGCCCAGGCCAGGAGAACGTGCAGCTCCTCCCTAACTGCTCCCCAAAACACCCCATGTGACACTGCTCACCCTGTGGTTTGGGGCGTTCCTCTCAGAAATCAAGACTAGCTCATTTCTTGCATTTATTTTTAACATCTGCATTCAAAAGTAACTCTCAAGAATCTCTTCTTTCACCAAATAACTGAAACTTTCAAATCACTCAAGACAAGAGGGAATATTTTAAGATTAAGAACATCTCCCTTTACACTCCATTTAATTCTCCCTGGAATTATTAAATCCTTCCTAAGAGACAATATTATGACCACAACACAGGATTTACAGCTCAGGCTGGGAGGGAACTTGGAAGAACTCGGCCGCACAACCACTTACAGAATGTTTTTGCCAACACTCTCTTAGGACAGGTCTCTTCTTTTTGTGGACTACAACTTCCTGCATGTCTTCGAGGGAGGGGTGCTGGCCAATTTCTTCTTCAAACGGCAACATGTACTCATCTACTGGGCCTAGGGATAAAAGAAAAGAAGTTAAAACACCAAAATTGCTTTCTGCTTCCATGATCACTGGTATCTGGTTACTGAGCAGGCTCCTGTGGGTGTCTGCAATACCAGACACACTGCAGAAACCACTCTGCAAGAGCAACTGGTGCATCCCTCTGGCTGCCAGATGCTTCCTCCTGCAGCCCATGTAGCCCAGGACTCCAGCACTTCTGTTCAAGGCTCAGTGTAAGGCCTGTCCTGAGCAGAATCAGGGGGACAAGATTTCTGTGCTGGACCACAGATTACACAATGATATGGTGAGACAGGTTCTGTGCTCTCAGATCAAAAGTCTTTCTAAAAGGGGAGGAAGGGCAGGAGAGAAGGAACAAGCAGTGTGGTGTAGGTGAGGCTGATGAGGCTTAGGGAAATGGATCAGGTTCCTCCTGAGAAAAAAAGGCTAACACATCTGCTGGAGGGTGGGAGGCTCTGCAGAGGGGTCTGGCCAGGCTGGACCCCTGGCCAGTGGGATGAGGTTCAACAGGGCCAAGTGCTGGGTGCTGCACCTGGGTCACAACACCCTCCAGGCTCGGGGAAGAGTGGCTGGAATGTGCCCAGCAGAAAGGACCTGGGGGTGCTGGTTGACAGCCAGCTGGAGATGAGCCAGTGTGTGCCCAGGTGGCCAAGAAGGCCACCAGCATCCTGGCTGGATCAGCACTGGTGTGGCCAGCAGAACTAGGGCAGGGATCATCCCCCTGGACTCAGCACTGGGGAGGCTGCACCTCAAATCCTGGGGTCACTCCCAGCAGGAGCTTGAGGGGCTGGAGCGTGGCCAGAGAAGGGCAACAAAGCTGGG